TAAATGAAGATGGGTGAAACAAAGAAATGTGCAAAGGGACATGACAAGCATCTGTCAGTATGAAACAGGACATCCAGCCCTTAATTAGGTTTTACTGTATACGCTGTTTCTGTTTCTTCCTCTGCAGCCATATCGGCACAAGGTATGCACACCATATGGCACAGCAACAACATCTGCTTTGATGGGAGGAAGGAGTCATCCTCAAACGGTGGCGATGAATCTGTCATGAGAGATACTGTACTTGTGAGCACTATTTTCCATTTTCGGTTATTTATAGCAACTGAGACTGGGGATGGACTTTGCCCGAACAATAGAGCCATCACTGTGTGCCAGATCTCCAATCCCACACATCCACAGCAACGACAGAACGCATCCAAGCGTCCTCAGTCTTCATGCTGAGAGGGAGTCGCTGTGCTCACATTGCTCAGCGCTCTTAGAAGAAGCCCCAGGGCACTCTAGGGTTGGATCTGAGGAAAATAACTCTACCTGCAGTTGGCAATGAGTATGAGGACGGGTAACATGAAAGGGGCCGTGGGTGGAGACAGAGCCCGGGTAATAGACAGAACTGGAGCAGGGCACTGCTGTAAATTCTGTTTGAAAGGAAGGTGGCTGTAGGGCTTTGAAATCTGAAGGAACAGATATTATCAAGATGGAGGAAGAACTTTGCAGTTGGAGATCATCCCAAAAAAAAATCCCATCAAAATCTTTCTGGAATAGACATCCATTTATCTGAATTGTACACTTGAGAAAATCCACATCTGAACAAGCACCATTTGAAAAGAATGTTACACTGAAAAATGATGAAAATGGTCATGTACTCCAGTGTCTTCACTCTCACATTGTCCACAGCTATGAACTGTACACATTCTTGGCTAGAATCAATGTGACCACCTCTGTCCCCTCTTTCCACCAGTTTCTGTTTCCTTTGTATTTTATTTATTGCTGTGTCAGTCAATAACTGTTTATGTTTCTGGACTTTTGGGTGAGACAACACTCTAAGCATGTTCCTTCAGATGCTTCCTTTTAAAACGGAAGCATCTGTCATATTGGGTGTGTGTGGGGAGTGCGACTGCTGCTTCGCTGATCTGCTGCATCTCAAATGCATCTGTTGATTACTCAGGCACGTGTCTCCTGTGGAGCTGCTACGTGAGGTTTCTGGTGTGACTGCCGTACTTCCTTGAATAAAAGTAACCAGTGTTCTCAACTTAATGCCAGGACACTATGGTATAAGGCTGTGCATCTTTTGGTCCTGCACTGACGATAAAACCACAGAAATTATTCAGTCGACAGAAACGCGACAGGGCTTTTACTTTGAAATAGGTACAGGGAGTGTTGCAAACATTCATGTTTGAGACATATTAAACAGATAGACATTGAAACTGTGGTGAAAAGATCATTTCTCATTCATGGGCAAATGGAAAATGGGCATCTCTCTACAAGAGCAGCGCAGCTCAGACGTGGCCGGTGTGGCATCCAGTGTGGCCCGGGCGTAATCTTGAACAGGTTCCTGACTGGTCCCTGCTAAGTTTAAACTTTGCTTTGGGAAATATCTGATCGTGCAGAGACAAACCACTGCCACACTACTGAGATCTTATTTTGGCACCAGCTCCTCATCCTCCAAGCTGTTGGTTCACGAAATGTTTTTCATCACACATTAAAGAGATAGAGGCACGTGTTATCTAGTAGGCAATCACTATGTTCGTATGCGAGATTAGCATGGATAGCATCCATATTATCAGAGTGTAAATGTCATTAAATGTCACAATCTCTACAATTCATTTTAAAATTTGATTGTGGACGTCATCAAGTCTTAGACTTAAAATTGGCAGATCTTCGTCCATATCTGCGCTCACATGACAAAGGAGCATTAGCAGAACATGACTGGCAGATTGTAGAAGATCTTTCCATCCTAGGGGGCTCAGGCTGTATGCTGGTAAGCTTAGCATTCTGTCAGCATGCTATTTACCTTAGCATGCTTTGCTGCTTTCTAAAAGGAGATAGCTGAGAGTGACTACTTGGGAGGTGTTTCAAGGGTAGAGCAACACGCTGACAAGCTTCACATGGCTTGTTGAGGTTATACAGTGTAGGTCGCTGGAGCCTGGCTCTCAGATGAAGCAGACATCTGAAGATTAACCAGAGTATCTGCTTTTTGCTTTATTGAGTAATGGATTCACTTCACAGGTGCACTAAGCCAGAAACCGGTGAAAATGTTCTTATATGACAAGTAACGACTAATGGAACTAGTGAAGGTAGACAGTAGATAGACAGAAGTCCTGGACTACTGAGAGGGGCATTCAGGCTATTCTGTATTTCAAGTCAGTGGGCTCAGCCATAGCAGCTGAGTAAAGATAAAATCATATTAATTATAACATTTTCGATATGAGGCTGGGTCAAGCTGCGGAGCAGTTAAGATCGTTAAGTTTCATACTTAATTGTCATGCTCGACTGTGGCTAGCTATCTATGATATGGGTCAGAAAAATCCATCAAATGCCATAACAACCAATTTGTTCCTGATAGGCAACTCTTACCTTTGACATGTAGATTCAAATCAGGCTGCTATTGTACTGGACGCGTAAACATTTGGCTGTATAATATCTCCATGAATGTGTGACTGATTTTTGAATGGCTGAGGTGAAGGAGACACTCACATGTTTGGAAAGGTTATCACTCTTGCAGTCTAAATCGTACCTGCAGAGAAGAGAGAAAAGAAGACACATCAGAATGAAAGGCTGTACACAAATGAGTCATCTACACAAGCTTCTCCTCTCCCTCATCACCTGCCTTTAATGCAACACACTTCTTCAGTAATCACTGCAAAGAACCGGTTTAACTTTAAAGTGGGCTCGTGATTATGGCACCAAAAGCTCCACTGATCTGATTTCATGGAACAGCCTCAGTATCATAAATGACTGTGAAAATATTAAACTCTACTGTGAATTTCACACATTAATGAAATCATTAAATCCTGCTACTTCCATCTACATAATATCTCTCCTTGACTTAGTACAATACATGCCTTTGAGTTTTCCCGCCTGGATTACTACAACGTTAGTTGTAGTAAACCTTAGTAACTCGCTGGCAGCTTTTTCAAAATGCTGCTTCCCGTATTTTAAGAAAAACTAGCCATAGGTCTCATATCACCCCAATCACTGCATCCCTTCACTGGTTGCCACTTAAAGTCAGGATTGATTTTAAGATTCTTTTAATAACTTTTAAGACTCAACATGGGCTGGCCGCTAGTTACATTTCACAGCTCTTGACTTAATCCCAGGCGCATTCTGAGATCGGCCAGCCTGTCCCTGTTGGCTGTCCCTAGGTCAAGGCTGACTACTCAGGGTGACCAGGCTTTCTCCGTCAGGGCCCTGAGGCTTTGGAACTCCCTGCTTGACGAGATTAGGCTCGCAAACCCACTATCTATCTTTAACTCACTGCTCAAATGTATTTTTACAGTAAAGCATTTCATGTGATTTGTAACTCTGGTACTACTGTGTTGTTTTAACTCCTGTATTCCTTTTATCTTACTTTTATTGCAGCAACCTTTAGCCTCAGTGTACCTTCAGGTTCAGCTTTTAATGTTATTTTGATTAAAAGGCTGAAAGACCTGATGATGACAAGATACAACTGAAGATTATAATTTTCATTAACCAGTCCGACAGAGTTCAAATAAGATGGTTAAACAACCATTCCTGTTTTTTAAGGTCTTGACTTTTTTATTTTATGATTTGGCCCATAAAATTGAACTGAATTGAATATGTTTTATTATTATTCATTCTTCTTTTTGCCATGGATAATTTATAATTTGAATTCAGGATAATAAAAGAAGAAGACAGAAAATCTAATGCTCTTACTAATGTAATTCCATAAGAGCATGGAAACACGCTGCTGTTACACAACGTGCCACTGGCGAAATGCACAGGTGCGCTTCATGTTCTATTCGTCCCTTGCCTCTGTCACTCCCAAATGTTCATAAATGATTAATTTTATCTTATTTAATAATGAGACCTGAGGAGAGGGAGAGAGAGAGAGAGAGAGAGAGAGGGAGAGGGGGGGGTGAACATACTACTAACGTATGAAAGATGGATGATTTGGCTGCACATGTTCACCTGCACACTGGAGACTTTTGCAGTAGTAGACGTCCAACGACCTGACACGTGCACGTTTGTTGAGTGCCACTCAACGTGTGTGTGTGTGTTTAGATGACATCACTCTGCATTGGCAAAGGGCCAGACAGGATTTCTCTTGGTCCTGTGCTTGCTGTCTGCTTTTTTTCAGATCTCTGTTTGAACTGAACAGTGATGACTACTGATGCCACACAAACAAAGACATGATTTTCAACAATCAAATGTAAATCATCTATTTGTTGTCTGATATATATTTGGATGTGTCCATGTTGGTGGTGACTGTCATACTTTATTATGGGGAGTAATTACTGGCTGGCTATTAGATTTTGATTTTATCGTCTCTGACCCTGCTTGATTTTGAGGTTCTATTCTTGGAATATTATTTTGCCAAGGAGAAAAAACTAAATACCACGAAACCAGGTATTTATTTAATTTATTAGATTTTAATAGTAACACTTCTATAACAAGGTATTTTGGGTTTTCCTCTGGTTTAAAGATAAAGGTAGAATGGCACTTAGTCAAGGCTGCTCTCATAAATATCAGTTGCATAAATAGATAGTTTTTTTGTGAGAGGCATGAAATGATATAGTCCTCAATATTGTAGACACCTAAGGTCTTTATAAACCAAGTCAATTTTTTGTCCAAAATTGTTGCATGTTTCAAAAGAAATACAACATTATGTTGCATCTATTACGTTTGCACACGGACTCTGAAACTTTTAGGAACAGGTTTGATTTGCTGTGTTTTTAACATCAGTCAAAGATGTTGCAGCGAGTTGTTCATGATAAACTGGATTACAGAAATGAGCTGTCGTCTATTTAACAGTTGCATTAAACTGGACGACTGATATCCTGAAATAGACTGGGAAGCGATCGGGATAATCACGCAGCTCTTTGATCAGAAGATGAAATTCTTCTTATATCTGATGACATTTTAGGGTTGGATGGACCCAATAATATCTTTTTCTTTCTTCAAGAGGTGCAGGACCACAAAATCATCCTCACTGCTCGACTCCATTTGACCTCGTTCAATGTACACCTGCACAACCGGTAATATAGTTTCAATTCAGGCCTTTTGAATTTAAGAGGACATGTCTTCAATCCAGTAAAATAAAAAAAGGAAATACAGCTATAGCAACCTTCTTCAACTAACACTTGCCACACTTGATTAGACAACCATTCACCCAAAGGAGGGAGCTTCCACTGGCTTCACTGAGCTTCTCATGTGAGCTCCTCATAAGAGGAGCACTGAACATAGCCAGCAGTGTGATGAGGATTAACAGGGTTTGCAGCAGAGGAAGCAAGTATGTTGTGGCTCTGGGGTCTTCGGGTAAAAAGAGCGTGGGTTGGTTCAGTTGCAGCTATACTGGCGGTTTGCAGCCAGTTCAGCATTGTATGTCCTGAAGGGATGTGGAGCCAGTGGAAGTGAGAGGAATGGAAGTAATGATGGGCTGCTGGAGCTACAGTGTAAAGACTTCCACACCTCGGGACTAGGGCTGCAACTAGCCATTATTTGGATAATCGATTTATCTGTCAATTATTTATCGAATAATAAGACAAAATCAACTTCATTTACCTTTACAGTCCTGTTTCTATATGTATTACAGACATCTGCAATTTAA